GCAATGGCGCGATCTCGGCTCACCGCAACCTCCGCCTCCCGGGTTCAGGCAATTCTCCTGCCTCAGCCTCCTGAGTAGCTGGGATTACAGGCACGCACCACCATGCCCAGCTAATTTTTGTATTTTTAGTAGAGACGGGGTTTCACGATGTTGACCAGGATGGTCTCGATCTCTTGACCTAGTGATCCACCCGCCTCAGCCTCCCAAAGTGCTGGGATTACAGGCGTGAGCCACCGTGTCCGGCAATGTGCACATTTTTAAAAGTAGTTAAAACATGAGCAGGCAAGCTGTCCAGTGCTGTTCTTTGCTTTTACATGTTACTCTCTCCTCCCAGAACCCAGAATCTTTCTTGTTTGACTTTGTGGAATCTGCTTTTTATTAAAAATTTTTACTTGAAGTCAGAAGCCACAAACAGGATGCTTACTTTCTTTCCTGGAATTGAATGTGGACAGAGCCTCCAGGCTTCCCTGTCACTGCTGTGATGGGTGAGATTGGGCTGGTCCAGAAGCCATTTGAGGGACTCGAGGCTTTGACATGATTAATGAGATTTTTAAGATCAAAGGAGAGGGAGTAAAAAGTGAGTCATGTAACTTCAGTACTGAACCAGACCTGCCATCCATTTGCAGATACATGGATAGAAACAATAATAATCTTGATGATAATAGTCAACATTCTAAAATGTAACTAGCTATAAGCTAGAAGCATTTGGCCAGAAGGCTAGTTTCTTCTGTCCTTTTCCAGTCAGGAGATGCTGTAGTGTGATGGGGAGGGAAAGGAGAGCCTTAGCACTAACTTTTGACTGTGGCTGGCAAGTACACCTTTGTGCCTGGCTAACCTTGGTGGGGAAGGGAGCAAGCGTTTGGTGAGCCTGCCTTCGGCATTGGGCTTTGTCTCAAGTGCTTTACTTGTAGTATCTTCTTTGATTCTTAGAACAAACTCAAGAAATTTTTCCATTTTTACAAAAGAAAAAACTGCAACTTGGAGAGGTTAAATAACTTGTCTGAGAGTCACTTGTTAAGTGAGAGAGACTGGGAACATTCTCTCCATATCCAGACATCTGACTCTAAAGCTTAAGCTCAAAAGCAGTCAGCACTTGCTGTCCTGAGCCTTACACACTGGTCCTGTTGTGGATGACTGCTCCATCCTTACATGGCCATGTGACCCTGGACAGGTGACTTGGTCTTCCTGAATATCAGTTTTCTCCTCTGTAAAACTGGGTAAGCAATGTCTTCCAAACAGGCTGGTTATGGGATGCAAATGAGATTACTTATGTAAATGCCTAATGCACATAGTGTGGTCAGTAAATGTCAAGTGCACATAGTGTGCTCAGTAAACATTAAATGCTTCTGCCTCTGCCTTAGGAATGAATATATAATACAAGTTTATGTTAATACTACTTTCTTTCAAAGCAGTCAATTTTTATTTTTGGTTTTGAGTAATATGTGCAAACTATAAAAATTTGGCCATTACAAAAATAAATACTATGGCAAATAAGTTATCAGTGATCTTTTGGTAGGGCCAGCAAAGCAAGGGCTGTTTGTGATATCTTTTTATTGCATGCAACTTATGGTTGGACTGAAATGAAAATGAACATTTAAGGGTGTTAGTTTTTCTGCCTCTTCCCTTCTAGGATTGTGTTATTTTTCACTATTGATTTTTAAAGGAAAATTTCAACCATTTAGAGCAGCTGCTTTCAGAACGTAATTTTCTAGTTAGAAATACAACAAAGTGGCCGGGTGCGGTGGCTCACACCTATAATCCCAGCACTTTGGGAGGCCGAGGTGGGTGGATCACAAGGTCAGGAGTTCAAGACCAGCCTGATGAACATGGTGAAACCCCGTCTCTACTAAAAACACAAAAATTAGCTGGGCATGGTGGTGCGCACCTATAATCCAGGCTACTCAGGAGGCTGAGGCACAAGAATCACTTGAACCCGGGAGGTGGAGGTTGCAGTGAACCAAGATCGTGCCACTGCACTCTAGCCTGGGCAACAGAGTGAGACTCAAAAAAAAAAAAAAAGAAAAAAAAGAAATACAACAAAGATTCTAGTAAAGACTTTGTGGCCAAGCTTAACTAAGGCCAGTGTTTCTGAGCCAGTCAGACTGCAACAAGTACATATTTTTCTGATGTTTTCTTTTAAGTTGTTAAAGAGTTAATCAAAAGGCATGATGCTATTAAGGCCTAGATCTTTCTGCATCTTTTGCACTTTGTGTGGACTGGGATTGTTTTTGCCAAGAATGCATGGAATGGGACATAATACAATAAAGCAAAGAATCTGAGTCGTAGGAAACTTCAGGAAGTGCTTAAAGAAAACTGTTGAAAGCAGTTGGCTCTGCACGTAAATAAAACCCCTACTGATAGGATTGCTATACTTTTCCTATAAAGAGCCAGATAATAAATAATTTAGGCTTTCTAATCTCTGTCAGATTTCTCAGCTCTACCATTATAGTGCAAAACCAGCCATAGACAATATATGAATGAAGGAACATGTCTAACTTTGTCTTTTTTTAAAAACCTGGTATAGGAACTTGGATACGATTGGTGTTGCTGTTGATTTGATTCTCCTGTTTCGTGAACTGCGAGTGGAGCAGGAATCTCTGTTGACAGGTAGCATGCAATATAATCCATGGATTATTTATATCTTTATAAAGGGTTCAAAACCAGTACTTTGAGTATTAACAGCATTAATTGAAGCACATGTTCTCTGTTTCATGAGATGGGGAAACTTTAATATTAAAGAATTATAAAGTTGTAGCAACTTCCCTTCTTGAATGGCTGAATTTGGTTCCTCCCACATTTGTGTGTTGAAATCTGTCTATTCTGGTTGCTATAACAAAATGCCTTAGGCTGGGGAGTTTATAAACAACAAATTTATTGCTCACAGTTCTGGAGGCTGGAAAGTCCAAGATTAAGGTACCAGCAGATTGAGTGTCTTGTGGGGGCTGCTCTCTTCTTCATAGATTGGTGCCTCTTGCTTTGTTTTCCTATGGGGGAAGGTGGAAGGTGGAAGGCAGAAGGCACAAACAAGCTCTTTGGGCACCTTTTATAAGGGCGCTAATCCTATTCACAAGGGCTCTACCATCATGACCTAGTCACTTCCCAAAGGCCCCATCTTATACTAGCGTGTTGCAGATTGATTAGATTTCAGCATATGAATTTTGGAGGGGCACAGATACTCAGATCATAGCATGGTCCTAACCCCCAGTACCCAGAATGTGACTGTTTTTGGAGGTAGGATCTTTAAAGAGGCAATTAAGGTAAAATGAGGGTATATGACTAGTGTCCTTATAGGAAGAGGAAATTAGGACATGGCCATGCGCAGAGTAAAGATCATGTGAAGACACAGGGAGAAGACGGCCATCTACAGGCCAAGGAGAGACACCTCAGAAGAAATCAGCTCTGTTGACACCTTGATGTCGGACCTCCAGCTACCACAACTGTATACAAATAAATGTCTGTTGTTTAAGCTGCCCAGTCTGTGGTAAGACTAATAGGCCATCTTTTAATATTTATGAATGTGGCAGGCCCAGGCCCTAGTCTAGGTTTTGGGTGTGATCCGAACAGTGACCAAAACTGACAAAAAAAATCTCTGCCCTTAGAGAGCTCACATTCCGTTGAGGGAAGCCACATATTAAGTGTCTAAGTCAAGTATCTAGTGTGATGAAAAGGGAACTTGGCTCTGATGGTTAATGGTTGTTGACTTGGGATTAAGAGAAACACCAAGCTTCTTCAGACTCATTGGTAGAATGGTTTTGGTCTTTGTTCTTCTAGCATCAACACCTTTCCTTTGAACAGGGGCTATTATCTTAACATAATGTTTTGTAAAAACATGGATTTTTAATATATGATCTCTTTGTCTCAGGAATTGAAATACTCTATGGGTAAACCTAAATTATTTGATAATAAAATCTTAATGTTGGCTGGGTGTTGTGGCTCACACCTGTAATCCTAACACTTTGAGAGGCCAAGGTGGGCAGATTACTTGAGCTCAGGGGTTCAAGACCAGCCTAGGCAGCCTGGTGAAACCCTGTCTCTAAAAAAATACAAAGGCCAGGCGTGATGGCTCATGCCTGTAATCCCAGCGCTTTGGGAGGCCAAGGTGGGCAGATCATTTGAGGTCAGGAGTTCTAGACCAGCCTGGTCCACATGGTGAAATCCCTTCTCTACTACAAATACAAAAATTAGCTGGGGATGGTGTTGCATGCTTGGAATCCCAGCTACTCGGGAGGCTGAGGCAGAAGAATTGCTTGAACCCAGGAGGCAGAGGTTGCAGTGACCCGAGATCATGCCATTGCACTCCAGCCTGGTCAACAAGAGCAAGACCCTGTCTCAAATAAATAAATAAATAAATAAATAAAATTTTAATGTAAATTTCCAGGTGGGTAAGTTAGATCTACTAGATTATAGGTTAAATTTTGTTGTTGCTGTAGTAATAACTTTACCTGATAATTCAATGAATATATCCTTTAAATGAGAAGTCGCCATATTTAAAATATGATTTGACTTACAACTTGTTTTATATACAATTTTAATGCCTGTACTTTGCATATAACATGAGGCATATTCTCATTAATGTTAATATGTGTGCTTCTCTTGGTAGATAGATAAGAACTAGGGGTGATGGTCTTTTTTCACAGGTGAAATAAGCTAAATTAGCATGTTAGAGGCACTGCCTGGCTTGGTTTGATTTCTGTGATTTCTTAATGTTTTCATTTTAAACTCAATTTGCTAAAAATTTTTGGATCTTGCTATTTGATTTTGAAACCTTCCTTTGGGAAATGGTAATTAAAATTAATTACATCATTTAGGAATTCACACACAAAATACATCTCCAAGTTTTTTTGAGCATCAGTAATTTAAAAAATATTCTCAAGAAATTGAAAGGATGTAGGATTTAGCTGTGAAATGTTTTTGCTGTACTATATATTTAAAGATAACTTCTGTAGTTCCGTTTTATAATAAAATGGAAGCATCAGTACTTAAAATTGGGGAATTATAAATTAGCAGTAAAGTCCGTGTTTCACTGTGTCGCTTGGGAGGGCAGCTATTTTGAGATCTCTGTGTGGTATGGTAATTCAGTCAGAAAGTTCAGAATGTACTGTGTCTTATAACTGGTAATCCTGATGGGGCAGGCAGTGTGGCAGTCCAGAGTTAAAGCACTGTGGTGGGCAGAAGGAGGCTTCTCTTTGAATGATACATCCTAAATAAAGAAGCAAAGGGGAAGTGCTGTACAAATGCTGTGATTAAATAACTATTAGAGGGGAGCCAGCCCCTCCAACATGTGCTGGATTTCATCACCACTTGCCCACGCAGAAGCTTTTCTCCTGAAATTATCCCCTTGCTGTCAGGCAGCCTCTTTTTTTCCTCTTTACTCCATCATTTTCATCAGCATATAATATGCTCTCCTATTTTTCATTTAAAAATAACTTCCTTTGACTCCATGTCCCCCTCAGTCCATTATCTCATTTTTCTACTCTATCCCAAATGTGCTTCAAAAGATTTATTTAGTTTTTACAATATATGGTAGAAGATTACTTCATCCTTTCTTCACAGGATTAATTTTCACTGAAGCAGGTAGATGACCTAAGAAAAAATTTAAAGGAGCAGATATCTGAAACTGCTTTCATGAACCAGTTTGTCATTGAGGAATAAATGGGTTGTTTGGTTGTTGGCTTGGCTCTTTATTCACTCATGTTCACTACTCAGGGTAGATTCTTACAGACCTATATACCAATATATTCTTTTTTTTTTTTTTTTTTTTTTTTTTTTTTGTTTTTTTTTTTTTTTTTTTTGTCTTGTTTTGTTTTCTGTTGTGCAACCTCAGCTTACTACAACCTTCGCATCACTGGTTCAAATGCTTTTTCTGCCTCAGCCTCCCAAGTAGCTGGGATTACAGGCACACACCACCATGCCCAGCTAATGTTTTTGTATTTTTAGTAGAGACGGGGTTTCACGATGTTGACCAGGATGGTCTCGATCTCTTGACCTCGTGATCCACCCGCCTCGGCCTCCCAAAGTGCTGGGATTACAGGCTTGAGCCACCGCGCCCGGCCTACCAATATATTCTTACAGACCAATATACCTAACATATGCATGTTAGGTATATTGAGTTGTTCTTAATTTAGGTAGTTGCATTTTTGTGAGTTTAATTATTTTTTATTGTTGTGAGATTCACATAACATTAACCATTTTAAAGTAAACAATCAAGTGGCATTTAGTACATTCACAGTGTTGTACAATTACCATCTCTACCTAATTAAAAATATTTTTATCATCCTAAAAGGATACCCTGTTTTCATTGAGCAGTTGCTTTCTTTCTGCCTCCCTGTAGCCCCTGGCAACCACCATTTTGCATTCTGTCTCTGGATTTACCTACTCTGGATATTTCATATAAATGGAATCATAGAGTTAATGATGTGACATTTGGTGTCTGACTTCTTTCACTTAGCATAATGTTTGTAAGGTTCATCCACCTTGTAGCGTGTATCATGACTTCGTTCCTGTTTGTGAGAGAATAATATTCCATTCATCGTTTGTTGGACATTTAGGTTGTTTCCACTTTTGGCTATCATGAGTATCAGTGCACCTGTGAGCATGCTGACATATGTATTTGTTTATCTGTTTTTAATTGTTTTGGGTACATACCTAGGAATAGAATTGCTGGGTCAGATGGTAACTCTGTGCTTAACATTTGAGGAGCCGTCAGACTGTTTTCCGTAGCAGCTGAATCATGTTACTTTTCGCCGACACTGTGTGATTGTTCCCATTTCTTGCATCCTCGCTGACTCTTTCAGGGTTGTAGTCATCCTGGTGAGTGTGAAGCGGGGGCACTTCATTGTGGTTTTGATTTGTATTTTCCAAATGCTCAAGTAGTTTTGCCCATTTGTAAGTATTCTTTGGAGAAATGCCTACATGTGTTCTTTGTCCAGTTTTTATTTGGGCTGTTTGTCTCTATTTCTTGTGGAGTTGTAAATGTTTTTTATGCTTGGAGATACTAGGGATGATACTGAATCTATAGATCAGGTTGGGGAGAATTGCTACCTTAACAGTATAGAGTTTTCAAGTTCATGAATATGGAGCATCTCTACATTTATTTGGGCCTTTTAAAATTTTTCGGTTGTGTTACTGTTTAGTAGATGGCTTGTGTTTAGTAACAGATAGTATCGGAAGGATGTTACTGAGGCAAGAAGGAAAATGGAAAGGAAGTAATATTTCTCATCATCTTCTTGAAAAAGTCAGCTAGTGAAATGTCTGAATTTTAGTTGGAATTCAGCAATGCAATTTGGATTCAACAGTGAAACTTAGAAAACATTTTATGATGTGTAGTTGAAACTTAATACAAATAATTTTTTAAAAAGTATTCTCGTTCCTAACAAAGTGCATATACTCTTTTGACTCTGTTGAGAACTTTATTCTAGGTAGATTTTTAGCAGGGTATGTGTGCCAGTTTTTTGTTACCACACTTGAGGTAAGAACTGTAATTACATTGTCAAAATAATATTTAGAGTATTATTTTCAGGGAATAATTGCAGTGGTGTGACAAATATATTATGCTCATCAAATTTTTTGTAAACACAAGGATGAGTTATTTTAATTGAGTTATTGGTGTTGTTTTTGGCCTTTATTCTTTCTTAATCTGTAAAAATAATGTTGGGACTTTTGAGGGTCTTCGTAACATTTGCAGTATTTACCTAAAGATCCGTTGGGAAGCTGTTTGGTAAGGTGAACTGTCATTTGTACCTGTCTGGAGATTTCTTTTCCTGTGTCTAGGACATCTTTAAGTCTTTTCCTTTTCAGAATTGTGTTCTGATCCTGAGCATTAATCTTAGGTGCCTGATGATTTCTTGGGTCAGTTGGTTTTTAGATCAACCTATACTATTGGCTTTTTCTGCATATTAAGTTTTACACAGATTTGAGTGTTAATATTCTAAAATATTCAGTAGAATTTTTTTTTTTTTTTTTTTTTTTTGAGACAGAGTCTCAGTCTGTCTCCCAGGCTGGAGTGTAGTGGCTCGATCTTAGCTCACTGCAACCTCTGCCTCCCAGGTTCAAGCAATTCTTCCTGCCTCAGCCTCCTGAATAGCTAGGATTATAGGTGCCCACCACCATGCCTGGCTAATTTTTGTATTTTTATTTTTATTTTATTTTATTTATTTATTTATTTATAAAGACGGGGTTTCACCATGTTGGTCAGGCTGGTCTTGAACTCCCGACCTCAAGTGATCCACCTGCCTTGGCCTCCAAAGTGCTTGGATTATAGGCATGAGCCACCACGCCTGGCCTTAATTTTTGTAGTTTTAGTAGTAATGGGGTTTTACCATGTTGGCCAGGCTGGTCTCAAACTCCTGAACTTGTGATCTGCCCCCTACCCTCGTCTTCCCAAAGTGTTGGGATTATAGGTGTGAGCCATCGCACCCAGCCGATAAGTTAATTAATTTTGTATGCAGAGTATATTGTTTTGGTAAGGCATATTAACTTTTTTTTTTTTTTGAGATGGAGTCTTACTCTGTCGCCCAGACTGGAGTGCAGTGACATGATCTTGGCCCATAGCAACCTCTGCTTCCTGGGTTCAGGCAATTTCGTGGCTGAGTAATTTTTTGTACTTTTAGTAGAGATGGGGTTTCGCCATATTGGCCAGGCTGGTCTTGAACTCCTGTCCTCAAGTGATCCACCCGCCTCGGCCTCCCAGAGTGCTGGGATTACAGGCGTGAACCATGGCACCGCCCGGCCACGGCATATTCACGTTATTTCCAAAGTGACGTTGTGGAGAGAGACCTCAATTTTTAAAAGAAACAAAAAAGAAGCAAGCAGAAACTTTCTATTTAATCACATAGAGACTATTTCTTAAGATGTATTTATTTATTCATTGTGTTTAATCATTTATTTATTTATTTTTTAACTTTTATATATTCTTAGCTTTTCGCTGTGGCCTGCAGTTTTTAGGCAACATTGCTTCACGGAATGAAGATTCCCAGTCTATTGTTTGGGTGCATGCTTTCCCAGAACTGTTTTTGTGAGTATATTTATAAGAATTTTTCTAACTTGTGGAAAGATTGTGGTTATATTTTCCCATTTTATAGAAAGTTCAAAAATAGGAAAAACTAACCCACTGTAATGGAGTTCAGGACAGTAGTTGTTCCTGGTGGGTGGATATCAGCTGGGAGAGCGCATTAGGGAAAGACCTGGGTCCTGGAAGTGGTAGTCTACATCTTGACCTTGGTGGTGGTTACATGGATGTGTATGTATCTAAAGTTTGTTCGTTGAATCTGTAGATCAGGTTGGGGAGAATTGCTACCTTAACAGTATAGAGTTTTCAAGTTCATGAATATGGAGCTTCTCTACATTTATTCGGGCCTTTTTAAATTTTTCCGTTGTGTTACTGTTTAGTAGATGGCTTGTGTTTAGTGACAGATAGTATCGGAAGGATGTTACTGAGGCAAGAAGGAAAATGGAAAGGAAGTAATATTTCTCACCACTTTAAGTATGTACACTTAAGATTTGAGCCCTTGAACCCTTGATTGTATGTCAGTTTCATTTTAAGAAAATAAAGGTCATGGATAAAGTAAGTAATATTGTTAAGGACACTAAAATTTTTGAGAAACATTAAACATAAAACATCAAAGTGTGGGCAGTGAATTAAAATTCTTTATGTATTGAATACCTATAGGCTCAGCACAATGCCGTATGTTTGGAAGATAGGGAGAATTGTAAGATGTGGATAAACAATCAGTTTGTCAGTGTAAGAAGTGGGTAACCAGTCCATTTATCAGTGTCAGATGTGGATAACCAGTCCATTTATCTAAATTGGAGCGAGACCATCCTGGCTAACATGGTGAAACCCTGTCTCTACTAAAAATACAAAAAATTAGCTGGGTGTGGTGGCATGCACCTGTAACCCTAGCTAGTTGGGAGGATGAGGCAGGAGAATCGCTTGAACCCAGGAGGTGATGGTTGCAGTGAGCTGAGATCATGCCACTGCACTCCAACCTGGATGACAGAGTGAGACTCTGCGTCAAAAAAAAAAAAAAGAAAAACCATTTTGGACAGCTAATGTCTGCCAGGTTTTGAGATAGATGATTGGAATATAGTGGTAACTTATGTATTCATTATTCCTGAAGATTTCATTCTTTGGTTGGGGAAACAAAGGAACAGGCCACGTAGGTTCTGATCTAAAAACTAAGATAATTAGGGTAAATCCAGAGTGTAATAGAAAAGCAAGGGAGAGGCTTAAGTGTAGGACAGTAAGAGAAGTCTTAACATGTTTCTTTTAGATGATCTCATTTGATCATCACAAAAGCCCTATGAGATAGAGAAGGTTTTGTTATTGTATTTCATTTTTTTATATCAGAAGACATATTAAGAGAGGTTCTTTGCCTTCACTCTTTATGCATTTATGGGACAGATGTAACCAAATTTGAATTCTAGTTTTGTCAGCTGCTGGCTTTGTGCTATGGGACAAGTGAAGCTAATTCGTTATCTGAAATATATGAATAATACCCCCTTCAGAAGAGTATTATGAAGTTTAAATGAAAACAAAATTCTGCCATCTTGCATAACCCATGATATAATTGACAATCAATGTGTCAGTGACCTTCCCCAGGTCACCTGGGAGTTATAGCGAGGGTCTGGACTCCAAATTCTATTTCCTGCCCTACTGTACCGTCTCTCCTGTGCATCTTGCCCCTAAGGACTATTAAAGCAGTGCCAGCAGTTATTGAGGTATCATTTTGTACCTGTTGATTTTTTTTCTTCCTAACAAGATGAACATTTTCGTGTTTTATAAATGTAATCATTTTAATCTTTTTCTCTAATGGTAAGTTATTTGCTTTTTGCCTTCTGAGTTCTAAGTCAACTTCAACTTTAATATTTTGGATACTTTTTATTGTGACTAAGTTTATATTTACTGTTTTTACAGTAAATAACCTACTTATTTTAAAGTGGTATAATTCTTCCGTAAATCCTTAAAAGTATTAGTATGTTTGCTAATGGAATCACTGTTATTTTTGTGTTTTATTTTATCATGTTACCAAATTGGGCTAACAATCTCATTTCCTTGTTTGGAAGGTCTTGCTTAAATCATCCAGACAAAAAAATTGTTGCCTACTCTTCAATGATTTTGTTTACATCCCTTAATCATGAAAGAATGAAAGAACTGGAAGAAAACCTCAATATTGCAATTGATGTCATAGATGCTTACCAAAGACATCCTGAATCAGAATGGCCGTAAGTATTGTTAGAAGTTTGATTGCTTTAGGACATCCTGACAGATCACTTTCCTTGTAGAGGTTTTAAGTAAAGATTTGCATTGTGATAATTGAACAGTAAGTTAAAACTTAACATGTGTTGACAAAATTAGAAATGGTTTTGAGCAGAGTCTAGAGAACTTGTGAAAGAGGTGAATGAAGTGAGGCTTGAGTTGAACCTTCAAGATCAAAGAGAATTCTTTAAGGGGGTGAGGAGCGGAAAAAACATTCTTGGTGTACGAATAAACAGTATGAAATGCCTAGGCACCTTTGAAGTGTACAGATCAGACTGTTGTGGCTGCAGTAGATAGTTCATTAGATCAGAGGTTGGTGTGAACCTTGTGAGCATCTGTGCAGATGAGATAGTCACTGCCATTTAAATTGCTCCCCCCATACATAATACACTGCCACCTCTCATACATATGTACTATTTCTCTCTGATTGCTTTTAAGATGTTTCGTTGTCTTTTCAGAGGTTAATTACGGTATTGGTGTAGATTTTTTTGGGCTTACTCTTTGAGGTTTCCTCAACTTTTTCAATCAGTAGATATATGTCTTTTGCCAAATTGGGGAAGTTTTGGTTGTTATTTGTTTGAATACTTTTTTCAGGTCCTTGTTCTCTCTACGCTTCCTTTGGGACTCCTCATGTTTTAGGTCCACACACAGTCCAAGGCAGGGCCAGGGCTGTGGCTCAACTGTTGGGACAGTGAAAATTATACAAGATACAGCAATCCACTTTTAGGTTTAGACAGTTTGTTACTTATATAGACAGAAAAGAGGAAGCCAAAGGGGCTAGCTCCTCTTGATTCTTGTCCCAGACACCACAAGGACATGGATGATTAGGATGTGAATTGTGAGATACTCCATTCTTGAGGAGCCCTTCTTGACTGCTTAAAGATGCTTTATATGCTGAAAGGGGCAGGGCAGAAAGCTCTGTACCTCATTAGCGCAAAACTCATCAGAACCTGTCTCACGACAGCCTCCCTTAGGAGACAGAAGAGCAAAATGGAGACAGCCCCAGAAGCCTCAGGCCTCCCATCTCGTGTTCCAGGAGGATTACAAGGTATTCATGCAAGACTCAGATTAGCCACTGTTCAGGCTCTGGCATGCATGGTATATATGGATATGGCTAAGGTCACCAGGGCACTATGTAGAGCTGTTCCCCTATACTCTGAACGCACAAGTGTTAGTCTTCTGTTGTGTTGCAAGTCCCTGAGGCTCTGTTCAGCGTTTTTTTTTCCCCCTACTCCATTTTCTCTCTTCACCAATACCACAGTGTCTTGATTGCTGTAATTTTATAGTAAAATTTGAAATCAGGAAGTGTGAGTCTTTCAACTTTGTTCTTTTTCAGTTTTTTTTTTTTGGTCCTGGATCCCTTGTGTTTCCATATTAATTTTAGGATCAACTTTTCAATTTGTTTAAAAAAAAAAAAAAACGCAGCTAGAATTTTGATAAGAATTTTGTGAATCTATAGACTAATTTGGGGGAATATTGCCATCTTACCTTGATTAAGTGTTCCGATCCATGAATAGAGGATAGTCATCTATTTATTTAGGCCTTTTAAATTTTCTTCAATTATGTTTTGTAGTTTTTAGTCTATAAGTATTGCATATCTTTAGTTCAATTTATTCTAAGTATTTTATTCTTTTTGATGCTATTGTAAATGGAATTGTTTTCTTTCATTTTTGGATTATTCATTGCTAATGTGTAGAAATACCACTGATTTTTGTATATTAATCTTGTATCCTGCAGTCTTTCTTGCTCAACTTATTTATAGTTTTAGTATTTTTGTGTGTGTGTGTGTGTGATTCTTAGGATTTTCTCTGTACAGGACCATGCCATCTGCAAGGAGATAATACTTTTTTCTTTCCGGTGGGTTACCTTTTCTTTCTTTTCCTTGCCTAGTTGCCCTGACTGGAAATTCCAATACAGTGTTGAATAAAATTGCTGAGAGCAGACATATGTGTAGTTTAGCAGGGAAGTGTTCAGTCTTTCAGTGTGTTACTGCCTGTGGGGTTTTCATAGAAATCCTTGCTCAGGATGAGAAACTTTTTTTCTGCTTGTACTGATTTTCTTTTACTTGGTGAATGTTTTTATTATGAAAGTCTATTTTATCAAATATATTTTGTGCCTGTTGAGATGCTCGTATAGCTTTGTCTTTTAGTCTCTTAATATTTTGTCCAACAGTTATTTTTATACTTTAAATCAACTTTGCATTCCTGAAATAAATCCTGCTTGTTCATAGTGTGTAATCCTTTTTATATGTTGCTGGATTCAGTTAATATTTTGTTGGGTATTTTTGCATTGATATTCATAAGGCATATTGGTTTGTAGTTTTTTCTTTTTGCGATTTTCTGATTTTGGTATCAGGTGAATCCTGACTTTACAGAATGAGGTTTTGTTTTGTTTTGCTTTTCCAAGATTGTGAAGGATTGGTATTCATCTTTAAATATGTGGTAGTGTTCACTGGTGAAGCCATCTGGTATTGGGCTTTCTACACGGAAAGAATTTTGGTTACTGATTCCATCTCTACTTGTTACACGTCTGTTCAGATTGTTGTCTTCTTGGGTCGGTTTTGGTAGTTTGTTTGTTTCAAAGAATTTGTCCTTTTGGTGTAGGCCAGGGGTCCTCCAGCCCCCGACCTGTGGACTAGCACCTGTCCGTGGCCTATTAGGAACAGGCCCACACAGCACAAGGTGAGCAGCAGGCAAACGAACATTTCTCCACCTCTTGTCAGATCATCAGCCACGTTTGATTCTCATAGGAGCACGAACCCTATGGTGAACTGCGCATGCGAGGAATCTAGGTCGGACGTTCTTTATGAGACTCGATTATAACCAATGCCTGATGATCTGAGGTGGAATAGTTTCATTCTGAAACCATCCCCCACCCCTGTCTGTGGAAAAATTGTCTTTCTTGAAACCAGTCCCTGGTGCCAAAAAGGTTGGGGACCACTGGTCTAGGGTATCTAATTTGTTGGCACAAATTGTTCATAGTAGTAAACTCTAGACTTTTTTATTTACATAAGTTGGTAGGAATGTCCCCTCTTTATTCCTGATTTTAGTAATTCGGGTCTTTTCTTTTTTCTTGTTTGCTATTGCTAAAGGTTTGTTAGGGTTTTTGCTCTTTGCAGAGAACGAACTTTTGGTTTTGTTGCTTTTCTTTACTAGTTTTGTATTCTCTATTTCATTTATTTTGTCTGTAATCTTTATTATTTTCTTTTTTCTGCTTGCTTTGGGTTTGGTTTGCTCTTCTTTTTCTAGTTTCTTAAGGTGGAAGATTAGGTTATTCATATGAGATCTTCTGTCTTTTTTACATAGGTATTTACATCTACAAATTTCCTGCTAGGAACTGCTGTAGCATCCCATAATTTAGTATTCCATAAATTTTGATGTTTATGCTTTTATTTTTATTTATTTCAAATTATAGTCCAATTTCCCTTATGATCCATTTGTTATTCAGGAGTTTGTTTAATTTCCACGAATTTGTATATGTCTTAAATTTCCTTCTGTTACGGATTTCTGATTTTATTCCATGTGGCCAGAGAACACAGTTTATATGATTTCATTCTTTTTGAAATTACTGAGGCTTGTTTTATGGCCTGACAGATGGTCTGTCCTAGAGAATGTTTCATGTACACTTGAGAAGAACGTGTATGCTGCTGGTTTTGCTGGCATGCTCTGTAGATATCTATTAGGTCTGGTTGGCTAGCTGGTTGGTAGAGTTGTTTAAATCTTCTATTTCCTTGCTGATCTTCTGTTCTAGTTGTTCTCTTCGTTATTGAAAGTGAATTATTGTCCATTTTTTTTCCTTCAGTCTGTCAGGTTTTGCTTCCCCTATTTTCAGGCTCTGTTACGTATATATGATTGTTATACCTTCTTGATGCCTTCACCCTTTCTCAGTATAAAATTTATCACAAATTTTGTTGTTCATGTTTTAATTAATCTCCCTATTTTTAAAAAAATCTATTTTTACATATATTTTGCACATAGAGGTTAGGGTGTGATTAGGGCACAGATTTTCCCCAGGGAGTAATTCCGGAGCTGCAGGCAATCCCACTTGCATTCATGGGTGAGGTATGAGCTTTTTCAATTTTGGCTTATTTCAGTGTACTCTTTTATCATTCTGTTGAAATTATACCTAATTTAAAAATTATTCATTTTTCTGATTATTCACTTGTATTTCAGTTACAATTTGCAAACAAACAGAAGTTGATACATACAATAATATGATGTGTTTGACTTAGAAAAATTCCCTTTGTATACAAATGTAACATGTCAGGATCAACCATTAGAGTCCGCTTACTTATAGAAATTTTCTGTAGCTGAGTTCTGTTTTATTTGTTAAGTACCTCTCGTCTGTGTTTTGATCATCTGCAGTTATTTATTTAGCAGCTTCGAATAAGGGGCAAAAGGTCATAAAGGGCAAAATATAAAATCTATTAATAGCTTAAGTTAAAGTTATCAGAGACCACTGGAAGGAATTAAGAAAGGAGCAAAGGATGGATGTAGTAGCCAAATGATCCCTTCTGCAGGTGCAGAATACTTTGATTTTGTAGTGAGAGGAACTCTGCATTTTGTAGCAAACAATGAGATCACAGAATATCCAGAGGCTTCTGACAAAATTGTTTTCGCTGTTAAATATAACCTCATCCCTGGAAATTGGAGAAAATCCACTTTCTGCCTTTTCTCTCCCCTGCATTTTATGAGCTAGGTATCAAATAGTACAAAACTACATGGTGTTAGAATTCATGGTTTCGTTTTGTTTTCCTTCCTTCCTTTGCTTGTTTCTTAGAAAAGGGCAAATGTGATTCCAATAACTTTGGGTTTTTTAATTTGAGTATACTAGAGACACAGGAAAGTGTAGGCGAGAAAGTCTTTGGCACTACTTGGTTTGTATTATTGGGTTCATGTCTTTCCAAAAATGTCTGTTCTTTTGTTTGTAGGTGTGAAAGATGTTTTCATGCTCTTAGATAACCCTG